AAAAAAAAAAAAAAAAAAAAGAAAATTAAATATCGACCAAGTAATTAAGAAGAGTTTTAGAATTGCACTGACAGGATGTCTTCATAAACATTGTGTATTCAGCCTGGGTCAGTTAAACTATATTCCATCTGAAGATAAAAAAAAGAGACGACTATCCCTTAATGTTCTTCCAAGATTCTATGACTTCATGAAAATTTAAAGGAAATATAACATGTGAGATTTATTACCTTACTACTTACTAAAGAAGGCTCAGAGAGAATGATCATAATACACAAGGTACTCTATTGGTAGAAAGGGCTTTGGAGTCACACAGATCTGGGCAGGAACCTCAGCCCTGGAGTTGACTAGCTAAGTGAGGTAAGGTCAGTTTCCCAGCTTCTGTGAGGATTCTCCACTTTTAAGTTAGGAATAACAGCACCTGCTTTAAAGTTTTGTTGTAAGAGAGATGTTATTCATGGAATACAATGACTGGAACCCAATAGGTAGTCAATAAATACTAGCTCCTTCCTGGTGTAGTTTTTTGAGACAGAGTCTCTCTCCCTCTATTGCCCAGGCTGGAGTGCAGTGGTGCAATTTTGGCTCACTGCAACCTCCACCTCCTGGGTTCAAGTGATTCTCCTGCCTCAGCCTCCCAAGTAGTTGGGACTACAGATGCACGCCATCACGCCCAGCTAGTTTTTTGTATTTTTAGTAGAGATGGGGTTTCACCATATTGGCCAGGCTGGTCTTGAACTCCTGACCTAGTGCTCTGTCCACCTCAGCCTCCCAAGGTGCTGGGATTACGGATGTGAGTCACCACACCTGGCCCCTTGTGTAGTTTTAACTATTGCCAACCATAACAAGCTGCACATAAAAACATCCAAGATTTTGCTATTTTTTTGCAAACGTGGCACAATTAATTTTGCCACTTAATAGATGGGAAAAACTGAAAGCACAGAAATTAACTGATGGCCAAAGTCTTACAGTAAGTCCATGACCTAATAATTTCTTACATTGTTAAGAAAATGGTGAGAACACTTTCCTGCTACAGTGAAAATAAAACTGAGGACTAAGAAGCAGCTTCTCTGTTTCTTCTGGAATTTCCGGCTGGTGCAGCCTGCCTGCCTCCACTTCTGCCTCCACCATGTTCGTCACGGTGACCCAGAGTCCTACAAGGCCCTCTGGCCCTTGGGCCTTCAGCAGCCGCCCCTACACCAGTGGGCCTAGTGCCTGCATCAGTTCCTTGAGCTTCTCCTGAGTGGGAATGCAGCAGTTTCCGGGGTGGCTTGCATCATGGGAGGCCCAGCTTCATGGGAGGCATCACCGCCGTCATGGTCAACCAGAGCCTGCTAAGCCCCCTTAACCTGGAGGTGGACCGCAACATCCAGGCCGTGTGCACCCAGGAGAGGGAGCAGATCAAGACCCTCAATAAGTTTGCTCCTTCATCAACAAGATATGGTTCCTGGAGCAGCAGAACAAGATGCTGGAGAGCAACTGGAGCCTCCTGCCGCAGCAGAAGACGGCTCAGAGCAGCATGGAACATGTTCCAGAGTTACATCAACAACCTTAGGCGGCAGCTGGAGGCTGTGGGCCAGGAGAAGCTGGAGGCGGAGCTTGGCAACATGCAGTTGCTGGTGCAGGACTTCAAGAACAAGTATGAGGATGAGATCAATAAGCTTACAGAGATGAATGAATCTGTCCTCCTCATCAAGAAGGATGTGGATGAAGCTGCAGGGAGTCCCGCCTGGGAGGGCTGACTGACCAGATCCACTTCCTCGGGCTGCTGTACGACGAGGGCATCCGGGAGCTGCAGCCCCAGAGCTCAGACACGTCTGTGGTGCTGTCCATGGACAGCAGCCGCTCCCGGACACGGGCAGCCTCATCGCTGAGGCAAAGGCACCGGCCGAGGAGATCGCCTACGGCGGCCGGGCTGGGGCTGAAAGCACGCGCCAGACCGAGGATGAGGAGCTGCAGGCGCAGGCTGGGAAGCCCGGGGATGGCCTGCGGCGCACAACGACTGAGACCTGCGGGGTGAACGGAACGTCAGCGGCTCCAGGCGGAGACTGAGGGCCTCAAAGGCCAGAGGCTTCCCTGGAGGCCGCCATCGCGGATGCCGAGCAGCGTGGGCAGCTGGCCGTCAAGGATGCCAACGCCGAGCTGTCCGAGCCGAAGGCCGCCCTGCAGCGGGCCAAGCAGGACACGGCGGCAGCTGCGTAAACACCAGGAGCTCATGAACGTCAGGCTGGCCCTGGACATGGAGATGGCCACCTACAGGAAGCTGCTGGACTGCGACGAGAGCCGGCTGGAGTCTGGGGTGCAGAACACGGGCAGCCACACGGAGACCCCCAGCGGCTGTGCGTGTGGTCTGAGCTCGGCCTCCGGGGGCCTCCCAAGCCGGCCTCGGCTACGGCCTGGGCTCCAGCTTTGGCTCTGGCGCGGGCTCCAGCTCTGGCTCTGGCGCGGGCTCCAGCTCCTTCAGCCGTGCCAGCTCCACCAGGGCCGCGGTTGTGAAGAAGTTCGAGACCCCTGATGGGAAGTCGGTGTCTCAATCCTCTGACGTCCTGCCCAAGTGAACAGCTGCGGCAGCGCCTCCCAGGCTGCCCCTCCTGCGGCTGCCCCAGAGCCCGGGAGGGAGGCAGCTGTGCAGGGGAGCACAGGGAACCAGAGACCCACCTGAGGTCAGCCGTAGCCCTCAGCCCAGGCGCAGGGGAGTTTACAGCTTGGGAATCCCCCTTGCCCATACGTCCAGCTGCAAAACAATTCAATTGCTTTTTTTTTGGTCCAAAATAAAACCTCAGCGCTGAAACAAAACAAAACAAAACAAAAAACAAAACAAAAGCAATAGAATTACAGGAAAACATTCCTTTTCACTCTTGTAATTTATTGTTTCTCTTATACGATAGGAAAGGAACAGTTTGTATCATAAGATAATATAGATTTGGGGATTCAGAATGGGGCCAACAGTGTTTCTTTGTCTCTTCTTTTGGATTTAAGTAGTTTCAGTATTATTCATTTCAAAGCGGAGGAATGAACTTTGTAGTTCTGTTGAATTCTTACAGATAAGCAGAAGACTAGGAATCTTGGCTTAAATTGCTTCTTTGCTTATTTCTCTGCATTGAATGGCATAGCATGGTTCAGAATAAACAGAAGTGGTTTTGAGTGTTCTCCAAGAAACATTTCTGATCCCTGGACATGTTGGAGAAAAACCAGTCTAAGCAAATGCTACAAAAGCAAAGTTGGTGGAATCCGGCGCTTGCTTTCTGCTGTCAGTCCCGGGCAGACTTACCTCTCTCCACCTTAGGTTGTTCATCTGTTCAATGAATGGATAGGATCAGGCAACCTCTAAGGTTGCTGACAACTCAAAATTCTCTGATTTATTTTCTACCATGAAAAAAAAGATGGGCTAGTGAATTTCAGCAATAAATCCACAACAAGTATTTTTAGTCATCCTAGAGAAAGAAACCAGGTACAACTGAGAACCACTTGTCAGTATAAAGAATTTGCCACTCTGACCTTCCTATTTTTCTCTAGCATAAACCTCACTAGCCAGATCATGGAATGAGATCTGAAAATGTCCTTTTGGTCCAGCCCACCCTCTGGCTAACCCCTAGACCACAGCAGGTAGACCCGTCTGTCATGAACTATGCCTTTGGAACGGGATTTATAGCACAGCCCTCCATGAGGCCAGCTCAGCTGTCCTCAGACCCCAGTGGGACTCTCCTCCTAGAGTCAAATGCCTACATTGGAATTAAAAACTGTTATTTTCCTAGTTTCATACCCAGGCAAAACTCATTCCTTCCCCACTGTCCCCTTTCCCTGGTCTCCTTTATTGCCTTGTCTATTTATGTTCATGTTGCTCTCTCTTAGGAGATTGTAGAGATGATTCTATAGAACTGAGCTGTTCTTCTACAGACTTTGGAGTCAGGCAGCCCTGGCTGACTGGGTTCTGCCACTGACATTGTGTGTTCAACAGCGAGCCATTTGAACTCTCTGAATGGGAGTATTATTCGTCTTTAAGACTAGAATGTAAATATCTTCCTCACAAGATTATCAGGATAATTAAATGAGATAGTACATGCAAAGCTACCTAGCACAATTTTAGGCAATTGCAGGTGGCCGAAACATTGAGTCTATTATTGTTATTTGCATAAAATAGGATCTTAACAAATGCTGGTGAAACAAATAAAAAAATAAGAACCACTTCTTCAGGATATTCCAACTAAATTCAGATCAAAAGGTGATAAAGAGGGTGCTATGGTAATTATGGAACAGAACAGCATTTTCTTGAAAATATGTCTTAGGCTGGCTGCAGGGTTGAAGGCAGAGTGTATATGACCGGCACACCAGGTATTTGGAACAAACTTACCCCTGACCAGCCGTGGGGCAAGAACTGGCCCTCCGCCCAGTATTTTCCATTGATAAAGAAGAGGCCTGCGATCATGATGAACACCCACACTGCCAGGTTCAGCACGTTGAGGACATTGTTGAAGCCTATGGAATTCTTCACCCCCAGAGCAACAATGATGGTCACGATGACCGCGATCAACAGAGCCAGAAGGTCTGGGTATGATTCTTCACCTTTCCCTAGAGAGGAAAGACATGATTTGACATTGTCTAGGGAGAAGAAAGGGCTGTGCAAACTCCTGATCCTACCCCAGTGCATCTGCACTCAGCTTTAAGAAGGGCAGTAAGTCTGTAAAAGGAACTCGTGTGTGTGTGTGTGTGTGTGTGTGTGTGCGCGCGCGCGCACACCTACACATCCAGAAGTAGACACAAGTGTCTATTTACAAATGAGCAGTATTTGGTAGACAGGTAAGATGACCTGATATCCTGGACCAAAACTTGGGCTATGTGTTGTGACAATTACAACAGCACCTATGGAACCATGGCACAGAATATTTGAAGTAGGAACTGTCCTGGGATATTTGGGATGTATATTTAGGTCTAACATGTTATTTGAAAATTGTTTTTAGCTTCATTATGGTTAATTTTACAGTCTGCAAAATTTCCATCCCATTCCCAAACCTTTTCTTTATCAGCAAATTTAAGAATGTGTGTCTTTGAAAACGAGGGCAAGAGGGGTTTTCTGTTCTTTTGTATATATGTGGTTGTAGAGAAAAAAATAACCATGCGCAGCCTGCTTGGTTTTGCCCAATGGCCAGTGGAGTCCTGCCCTCTATAGAGTGGAAAAGGCACTGCCTCAGCTGTCAGGGGTCCTGGATTTCAGCTGTACTTTTGCCCGTAGCCAGATGTGTGGCCTTGGGCAAGGTTGCCTCATCTCTCTGGACCTCATTTGTAAAGCAAAGGACATGAATGACCTGATTTTGGAGGACTCTTTTAGACCTAAAATTCTATGCAATCAGTACACTGACCAGGTTTGTTCTTTATATTTTTATCTTGTCATGGTACCTAGGTGCTCAGCATTTTTGTCAGTTCTTCTGAGATAGGAACATTGAAGTCAGATGACTTGACACAGCCGCAGAATCAATCCTCTGAAGCAAGACTCCAGAGCTTCCTCAACTATTGTTTGGCTTTCCTTAAATGTGAGTTTATCAGGCAAGATGGAGAGTGGCCAGGCACGGTGGTTTACGCCTGTAATGTCAGCACTTTAGGAGGTCGAGGTGGGCAGATCACAAGGTCTGGGGTTCAAGACCAGCCTGACCAACATGGTGAAACCCCTTCTCTACTAAAAATACAAAAATTAGCTGGGTATGGTGGTGCACACCTGTAATCTCGGCTACTCAGCAGTCTGAGGCAGGAGAATCACTTGAACCTGGGAGGTGGAGGTTGCAGTGAGCCAAGATCACGCCATTGCACTCCAGCCTGGATGACAGAGCAAGACTCTGTCTCAAAAAAAAAAAAAAAAAAAAATGGAGAGTGGGTGGCAAATGATGGATAGAGCCTGAGGTCTCATGGTATTTGTTACATGAGCTTCTGACGGTTTAGCATTCGCTGTTATATTACCCCTTCCTGACCTCTTCTAGGCTGGAATCCATTTTGTTCCTTAATTTTTTTTTCCATTTGAAATTTGGAAAAAATCTGATGAAACCACTGGAGAAATTGCTTAAAATTCTTTTTTTCCTGCATTGTTTTTATTTTTATATAGCTATTGACATGTGGATGTATGGCTTGTGTTCTTTGACGTATGATATTACATTAAAACCTTATGTTATTACAAGTTTTCCTAATCATCCTTTTAACTGCTAGCTATATAATATTTATCTGCAATTTATTTAGTCCTTTGTCCCATTGTAGAATATTTAGGCTGTCTCTAACTTTCAGTTATTGTAAAGGAGGCTGTGATGAGCATCTTTTTGTATAATGCTTCTATGGACATTAGATTTTTTTTAAGGATGGATAGAGTCATAGAATTACTTTGCAAAAAAAGAGAGATGTATTTAAGGATTTTGATACATTTTGTCAAATTGCTTTCTGAAAGGGGAAATCATTGGTGGCTCGGTAAGTTCACATGTTGAGGGTAGGAGGATGTGGCAGTCTCACCCAGGCCATTGAGGGTTCCCACGCTGTCTACCATCCAGCGGCTGATAGTGTGGTTGGCCAGTGAGTCAAACATGCTGCTCAGAGCACTGGCTCCAGCCGCAGTGCCAATCAGGTACTCCAGGATCAGGTTCCAGCCAATGAAAAATGCCACAAATTCCCCGACAGTGACATAGCTGTAGGTGTAGGCAGATCCTGTGGTCTTGGGGACTCGAACTCCAAACTCTGCATAGCAGACCCCTGCAAGGGACAAACATACACAGATGGTGGACTTCAGGAGATGAGGTGACATCCTGTGGCTAACAATCTTGGGTAGAACATATTAAGACTCTCTAGGATCTCAGAACAAATACACAAAGTTTTATGTACACGAATAGATTCAAAGCCAACTCTGATCTCTTCCAACCTCACTTCTGAAAAATGTGAACCTAAATACCTAGCAAGGCAATCAACTAATTCTACTGAACTGTTGGAAACTAATCTTTATTTAGAAAAAAATTCACTTGTGTGTGTCTCTGTCATGTTCCTTAGGTGTCAGCCTGCATAAACCTGAGCCCAATTCATTATGATCCCCACCCTTGGCGGCACCAGGGTCATATTATGCACAGACTTCTTCTCTTTTGGTTTTTACATGTTATAGAAGGTGCTCCTCATTTGAGAGTGATACTTTGAGCAATCTGTGAAAATGCTGTACTATATCTAGTAGATAGATAAAAGATGCAAATATAAGTAAATTACTAATTATTAACAAGGAAATTTAGCACATGCACAAAAGATAATTTAATAAATACTTTTAGAGACCTGTCATGTGCGTGGCAGGGTGTGAAGCACTGAAGATAAAAAAGACAAATGGCATATGCCCCTGCCCTCAAGGGGAGAGAGGCCATCAGTGCCCATTGTAGGCTTGGGCGCTGTGTAAGCTTGACAATGTAAAAATGTATAACGTTGGGAGTAGAGGTGTGAGACATGTACTCAGAGGATTTTGAGGCATATGTAGGGATTAACTGGATGAGGAAGGTGGAATATGAGGCAAAGATATGGCAGAGAGAGACCATATAAAATATTTGGGTGGAGGGGGAGTGTGCAACCAGGTATTAGAAGGCGACGAGGCTAACCAAGTAAGCAGAGCCATGTGTTTTCCAAAGTGGGTTCAGGGCCCACTTCCACCAGAATCATCTATTGAATCTTAATTTCAGGAGATAGGAACCAGGATGCTGCATTGTAACCAGCTCTCCCGGTAATGCATGTGGTCACTTGTTTCTGAAATACACTGGAATATTGCCTCATTCTTTAATGTAATTAGAGAATAAATTAGAAAGAGGTTGAAAACACACCAAACTTCTGGGAGTTGGGAGAGTTTCCTATTTTGTGCTGGGAATTCTGGGTGTGGGCCAGTGGGTGGGGCAACAAGTTGGAGGACAGTCTGAGGACAGCGGGAGGAAACATCCCAGGGGTGGGGTGTGGGGGGATGTGGGAGGGAGCTCAAAGTCAACGTTACCTTCAGTCCCAATTTTGTTAAGAGTCAACCCTGAGGTTCTCTTATCACAAACCAGGGAACAATAGTTCACCCTTTTGTGAATAAAGAGAGCAGGTTTCTTCTTCTTTGGAAGTGGGTGAAATGAATGCAAAGAAGCAAAAACAGATGTCAAAAGCAAAGGCACAACAAAGGATTCCATGAAATGTACTGTCTCTTCCTTCCCCTCGGCTGCTTCAGTTGTCAGCATGTCTACATGGAAGAAGCACTGGACCAGTTATGCTGGGCTCCTGTTTCTATTCCATCCCTATATATTCAGCATCCTTGTTTTGCAAATAAAGGTATTATACCAAAGGTTCTATTAATGATCTCCTAACTCTGACACTCTAGGATTCCATCTGTTACATTGAATTTTGTAAATTTTTTGCTGCAAAATCTATCAAGCACAACTTAGCTTTTCTTTTACATCAGTTACTGTATCGTCTGGTATTATGGAGATGCTCTCGGGGACAGTGAAGCTGTTTGTCTCTACATTAAATGGCCCAGGCTGTTATTTATTTTGAGTTCCTATATCAGTCCTCCTCCCCTTACTTTGTAAATATAGCTTTTCATCTCTTTCCTTGATGTCAGACTGTCAGTTGCTACTTCTTGTTGCTGTCCCTGTGCTTACCTGGAGCAGTAAGACCAGCTCTTTTCTAAATTGCTGCTTCCAACACCTGCTATTTAAATTGTTAGAGTGAGTCTAAGATTAAGAGGAAATGGTCTTTGAAGAAAGGCTTAAGAGCTCTTCCATGGGGAAAGTATAGAGTGTGCATGCATTAAATACAAGAACCTGATGATATTTTCTTGGATGCCGTGTGTTTTCAGGGTTCTCGGGAGTTGAGTTTGCACATGCAGATTTGGTTGCTCTTTCAGTGCTGTGTGAGGAAGGAAGTGAAGAGGCAACTCACTTCTCTGTTTTGGTATCAGATCCACAGCATTATCCAATAATTCCTATATTCTATGAGCTTATTCTCATCACCCAACTTTACCACCTGATCTTGCACAAGATTTATAAGTAAAATCTTTTTCAAATGATGCTTTTGAAGCAGGCATCGATTTGATCACAAATTTAATTTGGAGAGAGAATATTTTGGAGTTTGTGCAATCAAATATTCTCTCCATAACATTCGATCTGACAAATTAAATTTTAAAATACCCATTTCACCACCAGAATACACTTGCCAAGGGTAATTAGCAAATGGCCAAGTCTTCATTAGGTCTTGTGAATGAACTAGTCCATTGCTGTCTGAATCAGAGAAAAAGGCCCTGGCTGTGCATAGTATAAGGAGCATCTGGAATCTTAGCCATTTCCCAAGGCCCTGCTGGGGTACTGATGACTATAGTTTGTGGAGAACAGTGGGAAAAAATCAATCAGCCACTCACCATATTAGACAATTTCTGCTCCAAGAAATCATTGTTTTGGACACACTGTAAAATATCTTATAATATTTTTAAAATTTTCTGATTTGTTTGTATGGAAAAATTCAGACTTATGGTGGGCACTAGAGAACATCTAGCCTGGCATTTAAACTTATTGGTGAGAATTGAATGTTTACAGCCTGAAATGTCCTGAGAAAAATGTTCTCATTCATTCAACTATTTTGAAATATCTGGTATGTAAGAGAAACATATTCAAGAGTATCTTTCTAATTTCAATAAGAAATTAAAAGCATGGAAAGGGAATTTTTTTTTTTTTTTTTTTTTTTTTGACAGAGTCTTACTCTGCTGCCCAGGCTGGAGTGCAGTTGTGTGATCTCAGCTCACTGCAACCTCCACGTCCTGGGTTTAAGCCATTCTTCTGCCTCAGCCTCCTAAGTAGCTGGGATTACAGGCATGTGCCGCCATGACTGGCTAATTTATGTATTTTTAGTAGAGATGGGATTTCATGGTTTGGCCAGGCTGGTCTCGAACTCCTGACCTCAAGTGATCCGCCTGCCTCAGCCTCCCAAAGTGCTGGGATTACAGCAGGAAGCACTGTGCCAGGTGAAACATTGGTTTTTATCCTAGATTATTTAGGGTCCTAGAGTAGTGAGTGTCCAGGGGCAAGTTACTTACACCCCTATGGATGTAATGAGGTGGCCAACTAGATACACTTTAGGTTCCCTTCTGATGCATCATTCTTTGGTTTCACAGCTAAAGCCACCTCTTAATCATCTAGTTAGTGGGGGAAGCCCTGAAGAAAATACCATATGTACCAATGGTTCTTAATAGAGGTGGCATTGACTCCTAGGGGAATTTTGGAAATATGTGGGAGTGTCTATGGTTCTCACAATGATTGTGGACACTTGTGGCATTAAGTGGACAGGTGCCTGGGCTATTTGTCATTCTGCAATGTGACTGACTCACAGATTGAAGCTCTGTCTTGTGTCACATATGACTGCTGATGCCCCCAGTGGACATTCATTTAAGTACAAACCTGTTTGTAATTTTTGAACTTGAATTTATCTCCATTTTACACATGCACACAAAGTAAATTTTTTGGCATGGCTTTTTAGACATTGAATTTTCCAGGACTGCAACAGCTGGGTAAATTGAGAGACAGTTGTCATTTGTTTGGTTTGGAATTAACTGAGTTGATCATCATTTTGGAAGACCACCATCAACAACGTTATTTATGGTCTTTGAGCATCAAGTAACAGACCTATATGCGTCTGCATTTGTGGCAGCTGTACTCACAGTGGTTCTATAAGTGACCACAAACATCTGACGACTCCGCTGTGTCTCCTAATGTACGCATGCCTAGCATTCATGTTGAAATAAATATTGTTTTATTCAAAACAACTTTTTTGATCTATATTTCATACTCGAGGTCTATTCATTTTTTAAAAAATTAAGTGTGTAGGAAGGTAAGAATCTCCAGTTTTCATCCAGAATAGTAGAGGCAGCATTACAAAATATTTATTACCAAAAATGAATTTTGGTGTACTAGGGTGGATAATCACTATTTTAAATGAGAGATCAACAGCCAGGCGTGGTGGCTCATGCCTGTAATCCTAGCACTTTGGAGACCGAGGTGGGTGGATCACCTGAGGTCAAGAGTTCGAGCTTAGCCTGGCCAACATGGTGAAACCCATCTCTACTAAAAATACAAAAAAAATTAGCCGAGTATGGTGGCAGACGCCTGCAGTCCCAGTTACTCTGGAGGCCGAGGCAGGAGAATCATTAGAACTTGGGAGGTGGAGGTTGCAGTTAGTCGAGATTGTGCCATTGCACACCAACAGGGGCAACAGAGCAAGATTCTGCCTCAAAAAAAAAAAAAAAAAAAAAAAAAAGAGAGAGAGTTCAATGTATAAATAATCTTTACTTAATTTGGTGAATCCGTTAAAAAATTTTGCCGGAGTCACCTTTCTAATCATATTTGCCTTATGCTATTATCAAAGTGATTTTGCATTTTGTGGTTATCCACCAAGTAATTAGAGGGAGAAGCATGTTGATTTCAAAAGTACTTATTAATACAGCTAGAGAGAATCAATATGAAATCCAGAGTTTAGGTGCAGGCAGCCATCAGTGAGTGACCGCAAGCTGCAGGCCACAGGATGGAAATTTTCCCTTAGTGTTGGTCAGAGGTGGGAAATCTAAGTCCCTGAGAAATATAAAGGATTTATTTCAGCAGGACTAGAGGTAATAAGCCTGCAAGTCTGATACCTTTTCAATTACCCGCCATATAAGTCTATCGTAAACATATTCCTATTTATATTTTGTCCTATTTCTAGTGTTTTATATT